CCGTGGGCCGGCGCCGCACGCGGCTGCCCGATGACCTCCGAGGGTGGCCCGCCGCCGGCCCAGCTCCTCCGCGCGTGCAGCCCGGGTCCTGGAGCGCTCCAGGCGGCCTTGATGAGCCCACCGCCGGCCGCTGCTGCTGCTGCCGCCGCCCTGGAGAATACCTCGTCGTCGTCCTCCGCGGCCTCCGCGCCCTGCGCCCCGCCCGCCCCTACCCCTACGAGCGCCTCGGCGGTTACCAGCAAAGGCACGGGCGGTGGCGGGAGCGCAGGCGGCGGGGTCCCCAAGAAGGCGAGCTCTGGGCTGCGGCGGCCAGAGAAGCCCCCTTACTCGTACATCGCGCTCATCGTCATGGCCATCCAGAGCTCGCCCAGCAAGCGCCTGACGCTCAGCGAGATCTACCAGTTCCTGCAGGCGCGCTTCCCCTTCTTCCGAGGCGCCTACCAGGGTTGGAAGAACTCGGTGCGCCACAACCTCTCGCTCAACGAGTGTTTCATCAAGCTGCCCAAGGGCCTCGGGCGGCCCGGCAAGGGCCACTATTGGACAATCGACCCCGCCAGCGAGTTCATGTTCGAGGAAGGTTCGTTCCGCCGCCGGCCGCGCGGCTTCAGGCGAAAGTGTCAGGCACTCAAGCCCATGTACCACCGCGTGGTGGGCGGCCTGGGCTTCGGGGCCTCGCTGCTGCCCCAGGGCTTCGACTTCCAGGCGCCCCCGGCGGCGCCGCTCGGCTGCCACGGCCAGGGCGGCTACGGTGGCCTGGACATGATGCCTGCGGGCTATGACGCTGGCGCGGGCGCCCCAGGCCACGCGCACCCGCACCACCACCACCACCACCACGTCCCGCACATGTCGCCCAACCCGGGCTCCACCTATATGGCCAGCTGCCCAGTGCCTGCTGGGCCCGGGGGCATCGGCGCAGCCGGGGGCGGTGGCAGCGGTGGAGGAGGAGACTACGGGCCAGACAGCAGCAGCAGTCCGGTGCCCTCGTCCCCGGCCATGGCGAGCGCCATCGAGTGCCATTCGCCCTACACGAGCCCCGCCGCGCACTGGAGCTCTCCTGGCGCCTCTCCTTACCTCAAGCAGCCGCCCGCCCTGACTCCGAGCAGCAATCCCGCAGCCCCTGGAGGCCTGCACTCCAGCATGTCCTCCTACTCACTGGAGCAGAGCTACCTGCACCAGAACCCCCGCGAGGACCTCTCAGGTATCAGTGCAGCGTGCCCCGGGTGGCCGGTTGGGGGCGTCCGCCTCCAGGCCCCAAGATCTCTATGTTACTTTTGCTCCACCAGAACGCCACAGATCAGGGTCCGAAGGCACTGAGGGAGGGGATGGGAGCTGGCACCTTATTCACAGGGTGGGAGAGGATTGGGGTCTTGCAGGAACCTGGCCTCCAGAACTGCATGCCTGCTGAGAGGGTGGTGCACCTCAACCTGCCGCCCTTGGTGTCTGTTGACTTCGGGTTTCTGAGACTTGAGTCTCAGGTCTGGAGCTTGGGATTCCAGGGAGCTGAGCTTTGAAACAAAGTGTTACGGCCTTTGGGGATCTTGACGAGGGAGTTTTGTTTATGTAATCCTTTTTAAAAGTTTGTTTTCAGTTACATTTGTCCAAAAGTAAATGTCAGACGTTCTGTGTGTGTGTGTGTGGGGGGGGATGTGGATGGGAAGAGAGTTGCAGCTGGGCAAGTAGGGAGAGGAAGGAGAGTGACAGAGGAGCAGACAGGAAAGCAAAATAGAATCCCATGCTTTTTTGCTGAGCGAAATACTGCCAGTGGGCAAGGGTCAAGCTGTTCAGGAGCCCCACCCCCCACCCTAGTGGACCCACATTGATGACACTGGGATCTCTCCTGGGCTGGCAGGACCGGAGGTTAATGCTGTGACTCAGCTGCAGACCCCATAAAAGCCTGCCCCCTTAGAAATCACTGGTGGTGTTGCTGGTTTAAATTGTGTTGGTAGCAGATTATGAAAATTTATTGACTTGCTAAAGGCGGTGAAAGGTGGGAGGGGATGGATGGGAGTGAATGAGGGAATTTGGCAACTTAGCCAGTTTATCCAGTGAGTGGAGATAAACTCTCTTATATCAACCCCTCCTAGGCACCCACAGGCTGGTCCCCCTCCTGTGCCAAGGACAGAAGATGCTCTCAGCTGTGTCCCCAATTAAAAACTGTTTCACATACTGATAAATATATATATATATATATATATATATATATCCATGTGTCTATGTGCAACCGGAGCGAGAAGGAGAAGGCAGGCCTAGAAATGGGCAAAAGATGTTGGTTCCCTTGACGGTGAGATTTCCCAAATAGGCCTTTTAAATGCAGGTCTCAGAGGTTAACTAAACAAAGACAGTCTGGGCAGGACCACACTGGAGAGGATTTTAGCCTGACATAACCCACTGAGAGCAGAGTCTTGTTCAATTTTATGGGAATTTCAACAAGTAACCACTACAGACAACCCTCCCCTCTTATTTTTTTTCATTTCCCCCTCGGACAGTCTGTCAATCATTCCCTCCCTGCCGGACCCGCTTGGTCTTCGGCAGGCCCTACTCAACTTGAATCCAGACTCCCAGGGCATCTGCTGCAGCAGCAACCACGCTGCAACGCCCTGAAAAAAAAAGGGGGGGGGACACGCAGGGAAGAGATTCCTGACCCTGCATGAAGCCCACCCCACTCCCAGGCGCGTACAAGAGCCACCAAATATGCGGGGATAGGGAAACACGACTGTTTGTGCGGAGGGGAAGAAAGTCGCGAGGCCACGCTGGCTGCCCTGCGCCTCTGTCCACCGCCCTGCCGACTACGACCGGTCTTCCAGGAGCCTCGCGGCACTTGGGCCCAGGCTGGGTCACCGTGAATTGGAAGCCGTGGCTTGGGCCTGAGGCCCGCCTAGGATGCTTTGCCCCTTCGTTCCTCGTCCTCTGGCTCTCATCCCTTTCAAGCATTCTCCCCTCGGCCCTCTTTAGCATCTCCGAGGAGGTCGCAAGGAGACCAGGGAGCCTGGGGGAGCTGGGCCGGCGTTTGGGCACGCCAATTGCCGGGCCGCTGCGTGCCAAGGAGGGAAGAGGCACCTAGGCACAGAAGGCCGGGAGGCCGGAGGCTGTGGGCCCCCACCCAGACGCTGGGACAGAACGATGACAGCCAGCACGACTTGCCTGGGCTAGGGCGCCGCGCCTGTGAGGAAGGCCGCGTGGGCCTTGGGCATCTGGACAGCTGCCTTCAGCCGGTAGTGACAGCGCCGCTTCACGGAGGTTTAGAGGTTGCAAATTGTCTTCAGAATATGTTGGAGCGCGATGGACGAACGTACATGTGCATAGAGCGACAGGCACAAACCCGGGGAGCCCCGGGCTTACCAAAAAAAAAAAAAAAAAAAAAAAAAAAAAAACAGGTGGGGGGCGCCCTGGTGGCGTAGTGCCTAAAGCATATGAGGGATAACCAGAATATTGGCGGTTCAAACCCACCAGCCACTCCTCGGAAGGCAGGTTGGGCAATCTACTTCTGTAGTGATACTGCCTTGGAAACCCAAGGAGGGGTCTCTTTATTAGAGCAGCGCAGCATGTGCTTGGGTACAATCGGTTTTATCCGTCAACAAACAGAAACCACATCACCAGCCATTTGGCAGCCTGTCTCTTCTCCAGCCCGCGGCCAGGGCCAGCTGGAAGACTGGGCTCACCGGCCCAGTACCGGCGGGTAGGAGGGCTGGGGCCTTCACACTCTCCGCGAGGCCTCTAGCTGATCCAGGCCAGCCGTAGACGTGCGAGTATCATCCACATGCCACGCGGGTTCAGAGGATAGGCCTGGGCAACTGGGCGCTCCGCGGGGCGAGGAGCAGGAGTTGGCCAGCCGCGTCACTGAGAGGCCTCCGCCTAGGGCCGGGTCGCTGCGCGAGGCCGCCCCAGGGTTTGGGAGCGCCGGGAAAGCAAAAGTAAAAGTTCCCAGCTCGATCCCCGGCCCGGAATTGTGGTCCGAAAAGGAGGGACACCGGGACCTTCTTGGATTGGCCCAATTCGGTTCTCTGTAGGGGCTCTCCATGCCGCCACAGGCCTCATGGTGCAGAGAAAATTCTGCCCCGAGCTCTGCTCCAGGCGCTTCTCTGCTCCCGGAAGGCCTGACCTTCCTCAAATTTAGCCTTAGTCCTACCAACGACACTGAGACGTGTACTAAGGCAATGATAGTTCTGCTTTTTCTTTTTTGTCCCTTTCTCTGCGGATAAGGTTTTCCATAATGCCCCTGTGGCACAGGAAATACCTCTGCTGCAGCCCACTACCTAACCGTGCCCGTTTACTGGAAATAAGGAGGTTGAAAATCAGGAGAGGGAAAGGCAGTGGGATGGATCTGGGACTTGGTGCCTGGCCCTCGCTGCAGCCCAGGCCTAGAGTAGTAGGGCACTTCCCCGCTAAATTTGGGACCCAGCGTCTAGATTAGATTGTTGCCAGAGCTCATTTTGGGATTAGAAAGCTCACTTCAGCCTCAGCGAAAGTAGAATATTGGGGTTCAGTCACATTAACAACTGGTCTTAGAGGGGAATTAGCTCTCCATATTCGTGTGTGTAGTAAAGCAAAACCAAACATGAGGATTCCAGAGTCTCTTATGAGTACAGTATGAAATTTTGAGAAACTTCGAGATCTGCATTTTCTCTCCTAGTTTTATAGCAATATGCAGAAGCTGCACCAGCCCTTCTTATATCTGGACACAAGTTAAATAAAAACTTTTAAAAATAATATACCGAGTCATTAGCTGGATGAATTTGTTTCTGAAAAGAGTTTTTTCTTTCTTCTTTCAGTGGGACTGCCTCGATACCAGCATCACTCTACCCCAGTGTGTGACAGAAAAGACTTCGTCCTCAATTTTAATGGCATTTCTTCTTTCCACCCCTCAGCTAGCGGGTCATATTATCACCACCACCACCACCAGAGTGTCTGTCAGGACATTAAGCCCTGTGTCATGTGAATGAACAGAGACACTCCAATGGTGAGCCTCTTCCTATGGGTCAGATACAGACTCTGGTGGATTCATAAGGTCAGACATAATGTGCACGCAGATAGCAGTAAGTAGCATGCTGGTCACTTACTCCCAATACCCAGGAAAGTATTGTTGATTGGTGTTTTCTACCAGGGCTAGAAGGAGAATTCCTGGCAAGGTGATGCTCAGAATACATGCAGGCTTCCAAGGCGAATGTATCTTCCTAGTGGAGAGGGTGAAAACTAACTCCATGAAAAACATAATCCTGTAACTCTGGGATCTCCATTGCATTCAGCAATCAGGGTCTGAACAAAGCAGACATGTTGGGTTTTTTTTTTGTTTGTTTGTTTGTTTGTTTTTTCTTTGTCTATGAAAAGTTGTATGCTTTTAAAAAGAGGAAGTGCTAAGCACAGGATTTCAAGAAATCCCCATCTTGTTGCCTAGCTAAGTAGCAGAGTTTTGTTTTGCCAAACATCACATTTGGTTGCCAGTGCCAAAGAACATTATTAAGAGAATATTTAGAAATAATGTTTCTAGTTTAAGAAAATGATTTTCAGTATTGTGACAATACAACATTTTTATGAAGTTGTTTTCTACCACCATATTTTAAAGATATTTTTATGATCTTCGTGTATACTCACACTCGTGCTTGTAGTTTAAAAGGAGGATATATTTGCACTTATGTATACTTTTACAGTTTGCCAAAATATTTTGATGTACAATTTTTTTTTCAATAAAATGTATATAACAAATAGTTGTTGAGGGACATGTTTCCTCGGCGGGCATCCTGGACAGCCCAGTCCCTTCTCCCCCAGCCAGTAATGCAACTCTACACTGCTCCCCCCTACCCCTTGTCTAATTGACGTGGTGTGGGGTCTGTGCTACAAATAACACAGGCCAGGTTCTGACTGCAAGTCTTCTTAGGAAAGAAAGAGATGAAGAAAAGTTTTGTTATTTCTTTTTCCATCCACCCTAGCTTTTTCTGGCTAAACAAAAAACAGAAAATGAAAGGACCTTGAAAGAATACCAGGCAAGATCATGAGAGACAAGTTTGATTTGAGGAAGCCAAGATCTGTGCCCCTTTTTATTTTTCTCCTGTGCCTAGAGAGAGCTTTGCCTCTAGTTCTTTCCTCTTTCTCACCAGTTCAGGGATAGGTGGGGCAAATCGGAGAGTGGCCACGGAGGGTTTCCCAACCTGCTAGATGGGATGGCAGCTAGGTAAGTGTGAGGAGCTCAAGGAACAGTGGGTGGTGGCCAGATCTACCTTAAAGACCCCACAAGGGGAAAGCTGTGGAGCAGGGAGAGGAGGACAGTCTCCTAAAATCCTAGAGTTTTCACATTTCCTCAGAGAATAACACTTGCTCCGCTCCCCCAGAAGCAAGGAGTCATCCCTCCAGAGTAAACTGCAGCTGCTGTCCATTCCAATCTATAGCTCAGAGCCTGTCCTGTTTTGCAGTGCCCACCAACCCACACATATTCCTTCCTCTTCTCCACCGTCCCCTCTATCCTTCATGAGGGATTGGTGATTTCCTTCCTTCAACAAAAACCAAAAACCTTTCAACAAAGGACTTGACAATTTCTTTCTCCTAGGATTCCTTCAGACCCCATTTTTCTTTCTTGCTAGGTTTCCAAAATCATGAATGTGCAACACACAGCGGGTGAAGGTCTGAAGTAAAGATAGAGAAAATACTGGGCCAATTAGTCAGATGTCCACCCTCTGTCTGACCAGCCCTTCAGATTCATGGGCAGGGTTGGCACCCATCTGGCCTGAGCAGGAACAGAAAATTCTCAGTCACAATCAAGTTGCAGACATTTTCCTCTCCAACTCCAGACTGGTTATTTTTGTTTTGTTTTATTCTCTTCCCTGAGTAGAAAACTCACCTTTGCTTCTCCTTGCCTAAAAAATCTTTCTTCCAATCCATTACCGTGCACTTAATACCATTCAGGAGATACTTCATACATAGGGTTTTTGTGTGTAACAATTGAATCCAAAGACAGTCACATTTGTAAAACATCTTGTTTCAAAAAGTCTTAGCCATTACCCTAACCCTTAGGCTTCTTTCTTATATTTTCCAAAGTTAAAAAGTGATTTAAACATTTTTTTGTATCTCCATTATCATATTTGCAGTTAAACAGGGTTTTGTTCTTTTTTTTTTTTTTTCCTTTTAAACTGAGCTACTCTAGGCCTGCTATAAATTACAAAGTCAGTTTCAGCATTTGCTCCGACCACAGTGCTGTGTTTACATTCCTTCCAAGGCAGCCTGCATGGTCGTAATTTATATCCTAAACACTTGAACGTAACTTGTTTATACAGAGAATGACAGGACCTCAAAGAAAAAACTGAATGTCTGACCCACCGCATTAAAAAGGTTAGCACGCCACCTAGTGGAACGAGGAGACCACGGTGATTCAAGTTTCTTTCAAACTGTGCAGTATTTAAAACAACTTTTTAAAAAAGCAAGACATTTTCTGATGCTTTTCCGACGGAGACATTTATCATTAATACTTTCAGGAAATATACTCTGACTTTAGAACATACTTTTGTTTTCCTATTTTATTCTTTTCATTTAATGCAGTGTCCTGACTCATTGACAACAATAAGCCTTGTGTGCTGCAAGTGGATTTTGACTCATAGCGACCCCATGTGAGAGAACAGAACTGCTGCATAGGGTTTTCTTGGCTGTAATCTTTAGTAAAGCAGATAGCCAAGTCTTTCTCGAGAGGAGCTGCAGGGTGGGTTCAAACTGCTGCTCTTTCTGTTAGCAGCTAAGTGTTCAACTATTGAACCATATTTAAAAAAAAAAAAAAAAAAAACCCTCACTGCCGGGGAGTTGGATCCAACTCATAGCGACCCGTCCTTGGGTTTCCAGGCGGTATCACTACAAAAGTAGATTGCCCAATCTTCCTACTGAGGAGTGGCTGGTGAGTTTGAACCGCCAGACTTCTGGTTAGCTGTCAAATGCCTTAGGCACTACACCACCAGAGCTCCTAATTGGTGAGTTTTTTCTTTTTTTAAGTGTTCTGACTTGCCATATTTGTGATTTTTAGATTTCTTCTTACGTTGGTTAGTTGTTTTCTTCTCTTTGAGCCAAAATTGCTTACAATAAAAGATCTCCTTTCTTCCTTAACTGTCCCCTTACACACACATACACACACACACGTGCACATCTACTTAGACACACCTGTCTCCCTTTTTTTGTTTGTTTGGAGAAACATACAGCTCTTGGCTTGAACTCAAATGTTAGTGGTTAATTCTAAAACAAGTGCTACACAGTATTTGGGAGTGAAGAATTGAACTAATTCAAAGAGGGATAAATGTTTCAATTATTTCATTATCAAATGTATTTTGAAAGCTTAGAGGTTTTTTGCTCATTGATTTAAATAGTAAAGTGATGTATAAAAAGGCTTGGATTATTTGGTGTAAGATTTGTGATGTTCTTTCTTTCTTTATTTTTTTAAGTGAGGGCTGTATAAGTAAAGAACCAAGGAGTCAGGTAATACTGAGCATGTGCCAAATGCTGTGCACTGAGGTTACCATAGTCAGCCTCATGTGGTTCTCTCAGTTTCAGAATCTGTGATTTGAGTATCTGATCCTTCTTACAGATCTGTGGGTTTGAACTGTCAGCCTTCTGGTTAGCAGTCAAGTGCCTTAGGCACTATGCTACCAGAGCTGGCCCCTAAACTCAAACCAAGCTCATTCCCATCGAGTTGATTCCAACTCATAGCGACCCCCATTGGCTTTCTGAGGCAGTTAATCTTTATGGAAGTAGATTGATCCATCTTCCTTCCATGGAGCAGCTGATGGGTTTGAACTGCCAACCTTCTCATGAGCAGTCAAATACCTTAGGCGCTGTGCCACCAGAGCTCCTTTACTGGCCCCCTGAGAAATGTAAAGCCTAATTTTGAACCCTAATCTAATGTTTTTTTGAGGAGAATCTTGAAAATGGGACACTATTTTATTATTATTATCCAAAGCAATGAGATCTTTGGTTTCATTCTAGTAAACTTGCAGAGAGGAGTCAGGTGGAATTGCTGAGACCTACCTGCCTCAGTAGGGTGGCACATCTAGATATTTCCACACAGGTCTCCAAGCAGAAGGAGGTGGTGGTTGGAGCAGGAGGAAAAAGAAATTCCCTTATTGGTGGTGAAACATTTTGAGGGTGACATAGAGAGAAGGCAAAGAAGCATGGCTATGATGACAGTGTATAGCAAGTGTGAACCCTGGATAGAAGTGGCTCAGACAGGACTGTGTGTAATGTGCATGTGAGAGAGAGAAAGGAGGAAGGAGAAAGAAAGCTTGAGTGGAGGAGGCTCAGAAAAATATCTCATAAGTTCCTGTCCACAGTGAGCCCCTAAAAACGGACTGAGCTCCTCTGAGGCACCATTATCTCTCCATGTCTCCATGCTTTGATTTACCATTTGGTTGAAAAACCCACATACTTTTGTTTTTCTTGGCTTCCTATTGGATTCAGGTAAGTAAGGAAATCCTTTACTTATTCACACTCAAACTTTCTGAACTGCTGCAGCAAGTCTAGAGAACTTGAGGAAAATCTTGCCTTCTATTTTAGAAAGTGGCAATCTGAGTTCTGAGGGGATCACTAGGCTCACAGCACAAGCCACTGGATGGTATTAAAAATTAAAATTATTACCACCGCATAAAAGGAAAAACGTTCTTGTAGATTCATATATGCCTAATTACTGTGCATAATGGTGATTAATTCAAAGCAGACACCAACTTACTTATTTAGGATGGAAATATATTTTAATGTATTTGATCAGAACGGAAATGCATGTTACCAAACCTGCTTCTATGAAACACTATCTTCCCAAGGAAAAGTACTGCAGATCTAGACTCTGGGCCAGTGAGGGCCACAGCACATAGAAGTCAGGGTCACTTGGGAAAGAATGGAAGTCCTGGGAGTTCTTCTGGAGTTCAGAACGCCCCAGTCCTCAGCAGACAGATGCATATTCAGTCAAATTGCGGGGGC